TAATTATTTTCTGGGAATAATGATTCATTTCAGGTGAGTTTCTTAGGAAAGTCCACCCATGATAAACAATAGGAAGGTTGTAATGAGTTTCTTTGTCTTCAGGCAAGAAGAAATTCAAATACATTCTTGCTACGTGAATTCATTTCTTTTCCACCTCAGCTGTTCAGATCTTCAAAGTGAATATCTATTGCCAGCACTGTCTTGTTCATGCTTGGTTTTAAAGCTGTTTCCTTCTTTTGAGACCTAATCGCAGGCCCTTGAGAAAACCAGAAGGGACAAGGCAAGTGTCAATTATGTTTGTTGTTCCAGCTATTCTGTTTCTATAAGTGTACGATATAGGACAGAAAGAGCTGGCCCATATTTTATTCCAATTTTGAGAACCTCTGAGCTCAACTTCTAGTTTTTTCAATTGTTTTTACTTTAGAATAAATTGCTTAACATATCTAATTATAATAATGATGGCTTACATTTGCCACACATTTACTACATCAAGTACTTATTGCCATATGTGACCAGTTGCCAATTGTTTAGGCTATGAGCTTGGATCTGTTAGCATCCTCATTTAACAAATGGAGAAACTATGGCACAGAGAGGGAACTTGCACCAGGTTCCATAGTGAATAAGTAGAGGAAGTGCTCAATCAGCCTAATTGATAAGCTGCTTTTCCAAGGAATTGGAGGCTGTAAGGACATGTTTAACGGAGATAATAAAGCAAGTTTACATAACCAGTTTACATTTTAAAAGAAAGATAAAGAAACAGGAACTTGAGTTCCTCCCAGAGGTCAGAGAAGGGAAGGGTCAGACAGAACAGCAGAAGGTTGGGATCTGTGGGGAGGTCACTGTGGGGAGATGATTTTGGAGGTGCGTTTGTCAAAGAATATAAGATGTTTCCCCCTAATTGTTTGATGGAGAGCTTTAGAATCCCCATATGATTTTGGAAGTCAAGTTTATTTAAATCTCAAAGGATGAGTGATATAATCTGACTTTTGAGTTATAAATCATTCATATAATTCTCATATTAAACATATATGCTTTGAAAACTGTATTTTTAGATTTTCCACTGAATTTAAAATAGGATTATTTTTTGTGGTTTGCACCCATAAGCAAACATGAGTGCAATTTCTGGTGCTGTCCTAAGTATAATATCACAGGCATTTGCGCTACAGGACAAGAATAGGTGCAATTCAGAAAAACAACTTGACCAACATTTGAGAAACTACTACATGTTAAGTACTAAGTCAGACTACTTTTAAAAATCCTCTTTATTGAAGTAGAGTTAACAAATGCAATTCAACAATTTTATTTGCACAGCCTTAAAAATATATATGCGGTAGTGTCACCACTGCAACAATCATGATATAGAATATTTCTTTCACCCCAGAAAGTTTACTCACAATCTTTTGTAGTCAATTCCTCCTTCCACTTCCCAGCTCTGGTAATTAGTGACCTGCCTTCTGTTATTATAGTTTTGTCTCCTCTAATTTTCCATATAAATGGAATCATATATCATGTAGTCTTTTATGTCTGGTTTCACTTTCCATATTGCTTTTGGGATTTATCCATATTGTTGCATGTGTCAGTAATTTGTTCCTTTTTATTGTTGAGTAGTATTCCATTGTATGGACATTCCAGTTCGTCAGTTCATCAACTGATATTTGGGTTGTTTCTAGATTTTAGCTATCATAAACAAAACTTCATGAACATTTATGTCAAATACTTATTTGGGCATGTTTTCATTCTTCTTGGGTAAATATTTAGAGTAGGATCATTGGGTCATATGATAAGTGTATGTTTAATTTTATAATAAATTGCCAAATTCAGTGAGGAGGAAGGAAGAAACCAGCCAAGCAGGCAATTAGGGTGGGTCCTCCATTGATTTCTTTCAAACGAAACAACAGCTTGCAAGCACCAATAAAGGAACTTGCACAGTGGGTCTTGCCTAACATATGCCCATAGCTGCATAGATAAGAAAGACTACACAGACTTGCCCAGACATGTCTGCAGTGGAAAATTCCATCCCCTGACTCATGTGCAGTAAGGGAAACAAAGCAATATGGAGTAGCTCAAACTAAGGGCCTGCATGTGCACTAGGAAGACTGGGTGAAGCAACCAGAAATTTGCTCCTTGTGTAAATGAGACGCCCAGCCCTCACTGGTTTCTTATAAAAGTCTCTGTGTTCCACTGTGAAACAGCAACCCTTTTTCAGGACCCCTCTCTGTGGCAGAGAGCTTTATTTCTGTCTTTCACTTGTTAAACTTCTGCTGTAACTTCACCACTGGAGTGTCCACATCCTTGACTTCCTTGGTCATGAGACAAAGAACTTCGGGTAGCACCCCAGACAACAAGGCCATTTCAAAACCACTTTCCTAAATGGCCATATTATTTTTCTTTTCAGTAGTGCTCTAAAAGTTTCAGTTACTCTGCATTCTTGCCAACACTGGATAGTTTCAGGCTTTTAATTTTTTTTTTTTTTTTGAGAAGAGTCACACTCTGTCACCCAAGCTGGAGTGCAGTGGCATGATCTTGGCTCACTGCAACCTCCACCTCCTGGGTTACAGCGATTCTTACGCCCCAGCCTTCCAAGTAGCTGGGATTACAGGTGCATGCCACCACACCTGGCTATTTTTTTGTGTTTTTAGTAGACACAGGGTTTCACCATGTTGCTCAGGCTGGTCTCCAACTCCTGGCCTCAAGTAATCCACCCACCTTGACCTCCCAAAATGCTGGGATTACAGGCATGAGCCACCATGCCTGTCCAACTTTTAAATGTTAACTATCTTATTTATTTATTTGTTTTAAAATGCATCATAAACTCTTTATTTCAGTGAGTGGAAGAGTTTGACAGCAACACACCTTTGAAAGCAAACATTGAGAATATGTTATCAGAGCATGTTTTGTTCTCCATTGAATGTTAACCACTTTACTGGGTATTCAGTAGTATCTCCTTGTGGTTTAGCATTTACCTAATAACTAATCATGTTGAAAAATCTTTTCATATACTTATGTGCTACTCATATGGTGAATATTTTGGCCATTAAAAAAAAAATTGAGGTTGCATGCGATGGCTCATGCCTGTAGTCCCAGCAGTTTCAGAGGCCTAGACGAGTAGATCACTGGAGGCCAGGAGTTCAAGACCAGCCTGGCCAATATGGCAAAACCCTGTCTCCACTAAAAATACAAAACGTAGGTGGTGACGCACACCTGTAATCCCAGCTACTCGGGAGAATGAGGCACAAGAATCACTTGAATCTGGGAGGCAGAGGTTGCAGTGAGCAGAGATGGTACCATTGTACTCCAGCCTGGGGACAGAGTGAGACTGTGTCTCAAAATAAATAAATAAGTAAAAATAAATAAATAAAAATTTAAAATATAAACATTCATTAATTTAAAAAAATATTGAGGGGATGGCAGGGGTAGTGGCTCACACTTGTAACTCCAGCACATTGGGAGGCTGAGGTGGGAGGATCACTTGAGCCCAGGAGTTCCCAGCCTGGGCAACATGGCAAAACACCATCTCTGCCAAAATTACAAAAACTGGGTGTGGTGGTATGTGCCTGTAATCCTAGCTACTTGGGAGGCTGAGGTGGGAGAATTGCTTGAGCCTGGGAGGCAGATGTTGCAGTGAGCTGAGATTGCACCACTGCATTCCAACCTGGGCAACAGTGTGAGATCCTGTCTCACAAAAACAATCAAACAAATAAACAAAAAACCAGAGCTGTTTGTCTTATTTTTGAGTTATAAGAATCCTTTATATATTTAAGATACAAGTTCTTTATCAGATATATGTTTTGAAAATATTTTTCCCAAGTGTATAGCTTGACTTTTCATCCTTTTAAAAATTCTTATTTAATTATTTATTTTATATAGAGATAAGGTCTTGCTATGTTGGCTAGGCTAGTCTTGAACTTCTGGCCTCACACAATCCTCCTGTGTTGGTCTCTCAAAGTGCTGAGATTACAGTCATGAACCATTGTGCCCAACCAATGTTTTATTCTTTTAATGTTGTTTTTTGAAAGCAAAAGTTTTAAATGTTGAAGTTTAATCATTGATTTCTTAATGGTTAATAGTTTTTATGTTCTACCCAAGAAATCTTTGCTTAGTCCAAAGTCCCAACATTTTAAAATAATATATTTTTTACAAGTTTTATAACTTTATTTCTTGTATTTAGAGGTCTGTGGCCCATTTTTATTAATTTTTTGCGAATAGCGTGAGGTAGGGATCAACATTCTTTTTCATGCATATAAATATTTGATTATTCCAGCACTTTTTTTTTTGCAAAGACCACTATATATGAGTGTTAAGCTGTACTTCTTAAAATTTACTTTGTGTTTCAAACATACAATAACTCTTTTATGGCCCCCTTCATTTAGGAAACTGAACTCCAGGGAAGTGGGGGTGGGGACCAACTATAGGAATTTGTGTGATTTTCTGTGCTTATTTTCTATCAGTTGACATTTGCTCAGTATATCACCTCATCAGAATCAAGTTCAACTGACAATCTCCCATTTTTTGGGTCAAAAAATTTAGTAAGAGCTTTGCTAAGCAGGTAATGTTGAGGGTATAAAGATAAAATCAAACTGTAAGCATTTAGAAAGTCAACAAATAATACATGATGGAACAAAGAGTACAGAAACTTCCTATCCATATGCTCAGGTGATGCACATATACCACAAACATAGGATGAAAATCCTTACATTTCTCGTGCATGAAATCAGTGTGCAGAAAACTTAATTTGATATTCTCTAAGGAATGTTTAACTGCATTGGTCAATGTTTTGGAGGCTGGGGGAACACTTCTCTCCTACTTCTGCTAGTTCCTTACTTATCAGAGAATCACCTCTAAGGTAATTAGAATCACCTCTAATAACCCTGTGTCTACCCAGGCTCTCACCCTTGTCTTTAGGAGATGGAATAACTTATTTTATTGATGTGTTCAGAACATGCATAGGGATGAGGATTATAGTTTATTGGGGCTCTTAAACTCCAAAGGTCCAGACAAAATAGAATGCTAATGATTGGTTTAATAAATGTTTTTAGTATTTAGTTATAAGACATGCCTTACTTCTCCAAGTTCACAAGGCATGAAATAGACTTAACATACAGTCAGAGATTTTGTTTCTACATAATAACTTCCTATTAAAAGCATAAGGCAGCTCAAAATGGCTGTTGAATTTAGATATTTAGAACTAGGACTGGCAACTTGTTGTTAAAGAATGGTTTTATTCTACTTTGAAGCAGAATTTATATCAAAAGACCTGTTTAGGTTTATTTTAGGTCTATGAATTTATTGATAACTAGAAGTGTTTTTTCAGCAAATGAACCATACTGAAAATAAACAAGCTTAAACTCTTACGATACAATATCTTTACGCCTCCCGAATGTGCTTTTTCCTTGTTGATATCAAAACCAAATGATGAGTTTAATGGTTCTTTGCATTGAAACCAAGTATTAGTTCTCATGATTCGGGTAATATTCTTTGCCTTAATGTCGTATTCAAATTGCTTTGCTCCACGGCTGAAATAGAAGAAACCTAGAGGCAGAGAATCAGGATTAGTTGGTTTTCAAAACCAGATAATACTTTCATACTTTTAAATTTTATAAACATGGAAAAAATAACATTATGGAGAGCAAATAAATTTGTGATATTACATAGATACATTTTAGTTTTCTAGTGATGTGGGAAATCCTATTATTCTTACTTCTCTAAGGAGGAAGCCAATATTATAAAGTGTGAGTTTCAAGGGACTTTTTACCTTTCTAGCCATACTGTAGTCTATTCCAGAGGTTCTCAAACTAGGTTTCAACAAAGTATCTCAGTGGTGGGGAGGAGAAGGCCTCTGTGGGTATGGCCTTGGACTCTGTATCCTCATTTTCTTAGAGCTATTCTACTTTTATCTGTTTTAGGTTTTGAGGTTCCATGTTAGATTTCCTTGTAATAATAGATTGTGTCACTCAGAAACATTTCTAGATATCTGATTACTCCATGGTCTAGGTCATTGTCTTTGATGATATAGTAGCTGGATTGTATGCATTACATTGCCTGAGGTTCTTTTAAAACTACAGCTTCCTAAATATCACTCACAATTCTGCCTCAAATACTTTGTTTGACACATAAACTCCAAGCTATGTACATTAAACTACATATATTAAAGTTTGAGAATCATTGTTCCGTTCATGCCCTTAGTTAGTTTTACACTTTAGGGGGTGTCTTTCCTCATCAGTGATGAGTAAACTGAATTTGGTACTTTTTACATAGATTTGAGATCGTATAACAGAGAGTATAATTTAGGATTTATGGATTCAGTTTGTGATAATGCTTGTGGGGTTAATGTTTATTATTGTGTATGCTTAAGAGTACCAAAATTGCATTAAAAAAAAAGCATTTAAGTTTTTGTGCTGTCTTTTTTCACATTCAACACAATCTTCCAAGCATCCCAATAAGTGAGGCATCCATGCTTACCTTTGTACTGGAAAGCAGCATCAACACGGATACCGATTCCAGGAAAGCATTTTATCACCCTCTGTGGGAACCCTTTGTCCATGGTTTGAGTCATTTCATCAAATCTGCATACAAGGATTTGAAAGGATACCAGTGGATCTTTGGTTTGGGGAGCTTAATTTGTCTACTGCATAACTTAGAGTCAAGCAGGGATGTGGGGAATAAGTTGGCCTAGCAGAGGAAAACCAACTGGATCAATAAAAATACAATAAAGATTATGTTTGGTTGAATCCTTTATAGTATCTTCCAAATAAGAAATGATCAGGGAAAAGGCCACAGCATTTGTTAGATTGATGCTCTTCAGAGGAATCGTTATATCACATTGAAGGCTGAGCTTGGAGCTTTCACAAATTTTGACTAGATATGTTTGTGTCATTGGCAATTTGGTTGGCATCACCAACTTTTAATTTTATCTTATTTTTTAAGTTGAAGGAAAGTCATTAGACTCATTTCAATATCTTTCAGCTTTGTAAATGTCATCCACTGCCTTCATCATTCACCTTAAGAAGACTATGGGCTGGGTGTGGTGGCTCATGCCTGTAATCCCAGCAATTTGAGAGGCCAAAGCAGGTGGGTCACTTGAGCTCAGGAGTTTGAGACCAGACTGGAAAACATGGTGAAACCCCATCTCTACAAAAAGTACAAAAATTAGCCAGGTGTGATGGCACATGCCTGTAGTCCCATCTACTTAGGGGGTGCTGAGGCAGGAGGATCGCTTGAATGCAGGGGGTCAAGGCTGCATGAGGAGAGATCATGCCACTGCCCTCTAGCCTGGGAGACAGAGAAAGACACCATCTCAAAATAAATAAATAAATAAATAAATAAATAAAAGATTATGGATTCATTTTATTTTTATCTGTGTCAAAGTAATGCTATTGTGAATATTTTTTTCCATAATAAATAAAAGGGCCAATTATCTATAAACTTACCTCCAGCACCAAATGCCCACAAAGAAGTAGGTTTTTCTTGTGGTCTTATCACAGACGGCTGCATCAATTTTCTTCACACGTCTTGGAAAGCCTAATGTATGGATAGATTTGGGATAATCTGGCAAAACAGCGTATCCTCTGATCATCCAGAAATTTTCATCTAGGAAGAAAGAGGGTGATTATCTTCTAGAGGGAGAAAATCTGAAGAAATTTGAAAATCATTAGATGCCTAGTTCCTTTAGTTTCAGTGCTCAGAGATTTAGTAATCATATGTCCATATTCATTCTTACCACTTTCTTTAGCTGCTCATATTATTTATATTACACAAATAATATATACCTTAGAAATCAATAGTGTGTCTACCTTTGTCAAGTGGTTTCATTGCACTTATTGCTTTTGATTGGCTAACTCTGTCAAAACAATCAAGTAAGCAATGCATAAATGTATTGAAACATCACCTTGTACTCCATAAACATGTACAGTTGTTATGTGTCAGTTGACATTTTTAAAATGAAGTGTGTTTGGACTTGTATTCCTAAGTTTTAGCACCCAAGTGCTCTCAAAGGCTAGTAATCTGATAACATCATAGAAAACGAGGGGTTGCTAGATTTAACAGAAAATATCAGTTAAATTTGAATTTCAAGTAAACAATGACTAGCTTTTGGTATAAATAAATACAAAATATTTTAAGGGATATATGTGTGTATATATATATATACCAAAAGATTATTTGTCATTTATCTGAAATTTATAGTGTCCTTTATTTTTATTTGCCAATTCTGGCAACATTAGTAAAAAGAACATTAAAGAGAGATTAATTACCTTTGCTTGGCAAAAAAGAAACTTTTTTAGTTTTTATCACACAGGTTTATTTTAGTCCCTGTGCAATTGGGATTGTGTTTATCTTCATAGCCACAGAGAATCCTGGTTAGTTATATTCTTTATGACAGGAATCTAAGATGAAGGCAGAAGCCCTGCCCTTTTGGCTCATGCATGAAGATTTTATTTCTTATACCAGAATACCCATTGGTTAGTTGAGGCAGCCAGAAGAAGAAGAATCAGGATGGGCAAGGTTACCTTTAAAAACCAGAATCTTATCTCTGGGGCTCTCATATGCAGCTTGCAGATCAGCTGGCAAAGATGGCCAGAATGAAGCAATTAATTCAAACTCAACATCTGTGATATCATAATAGATCCTCCATAGGTGCCTGTATTAAACAAAAAACACTTTATGCATGCAGCCTATAGTCATGTCAATGGAAACTTTGCAATCTTAGGCTTGCCTTTTATCTAATTGGTTGGTATCTTCCTCAACTAATTGACAGAATTAGCATAATTTTCCCCAGCAAATTTAGATGGTTGTGAATTCAGTTCAGTTTTGGGCTCCCAAGGTCAGGACATGCCCTTTTGCCCACTCTCTTGGGTCTGTAGAGTGGCAAACTATTCATGAAAATCTTATTCCTAGTTCTGAGTGCTTGTTGGTGTTGTTTGTGCCAAAGCAGCAACACCCAACATTGTAAGCAAACACGAAGCATTCCTAAGAGAAACTTTTTGAAGCAGATGCTTGCTGGAATGAAGAAATGTAATCATTGACGTGCCAAAATATTTCTTCAGAATTTCTCTTCTGGCTGCAAAATTCTGAGTCTATCATGAGACTTGAAAAGTCCTTATATTCCATTTTCCTCCCCATACGGCCCATTCCTCTCTGACATTCCATGATGGGTGGCCTCTCGGCCTCTGCTGGGCAGAGCATGGTGGTGATAGCATGTGATTGTAATGTGATATATTCGTGGGTGAAAGGAATCGAATTTCAAATATTCTTTCCTTTTACCTCTATATCCTTGTCAATAGTGTATGTCTTGATATTTTGCTATAAAAATATGGTCATGGTCTACATAACTGACACCATGCTGCAACCTAACACCAATGAATTTTAGCGAGAGAAGGGATTTCCCACTAGAGCTAACACTATTGATGCAACATTAAGAAATGTTCGGGACTCCATGTTTGGGTCCCCTTCCACGAACACTCTCGTGGAAGCCATCTTTCTCTTTCCTGGATTTCCCCTCTGGGTTCCCCTTCCACATTCTCTTGTGGAAGCCTATTTTCCCCTCCTTAACTCCATCTCTCTCTATTCCCTTCCACTCAGTGTAGAAGCTGCTTTCCTCTCCCGTATTCCATCTTTCTGGATTCTCTCACTCAGCATGAGAGTTAGCTGTTTCTTTCTCTCTCCTCCTGTTTCTCTCTCTCTCTCAATAAATAAATCACTTTCTACAAACACTTTTGCAAAAAAAAAATAAATAAAATAAATTTAAAAATAGAAAATGTTCAGTGAGGTGCTGACCCATATTTAATAACTGGCTCTCCAGGTGGGAAGAAGACATGACTTTAATTGTTTGCTGATTTCCAGGGTGTAACTACTCCAACCATGGCCAGTTTTGAGCTGCCTATGTGATGTAAAGTGGTCTGCAAAATTCCTGAAAATTTAGCAATAGGCTCTTGTAATCAAGTGTAAGTTGGTTCTAGTATGCCACTGGGATTGGTGTACTTTTCTGGCCAAGTAGTCACTGAAAGTAGACTCTGTTTCCCCTTCTTATGCAATGGCAATTTTAAGATTCCTTAAAGACATTTGAAAATTAATTTATCAAACAGCTACAAGATACACATATGGTAAAACATTCAAACAGTATGGGTAGCTATAAAACGAAGATAAAAGGCACACATTTTCATTAGCCCCATAACTCCCTCTTTATCCTCAAATCCCTTGAAAAGAAAAATCTTCATAGGAAGTTGAGGTGTTTAGGGATATGAGTTTACCTGCCTTTAAAGAACATTACTTCTCTGCGGAAAGTGGTGATAGCATCAAAAGTCAAGTCAGGGTCACAGGCATGGGGTATAGTGGGTTCCTTTGGCTTAGCAGTGACCTTAGGCAGACCTCCTTCGATGAGAAAAAAAATACCACAATGAATTAAGAAGGCATGAAGAAATATGCCTACACAAGGATCTTACCTAAGTGAATATTTGCTTCATAATATTTCAAGAAGTGATTTTCTCAATTTCCTTTCTGAAAAGCCTCCTATTTAGTTCACATATATTCAGATTTGTAATTTTGCTCACCGTAGATGGATTGGATTCCATTGATATCATCCTGAGAAAGTGAGTATTTTCTGGAATCCAGGGAGACATAATTTGGGAACATCAAGGCTGTTTGATCATTGGAGTGAGATAGCCCCAGTGCATGACCAAATTCATGAGCAGCCACAAGAAACAAGCTGAATCCTTAATAAAAACAGGGAAAACATGAGTACACGAATTAATCAAAAAGACAATGGCTGCATCTGAGATTAGAAAGTAACTAAGGGGCATGAAGTAAAGGCTTGCTAGCAGATAATTCTCATATGTACCATCATTTGGGAAATATTTCAATACTAATAAAGTCATCTGTTGCTTAATGATGGGGATATGTTCTGAGAAATGCATCATTGTGCAAACATTATAGGGTGCACTTACACAAACCTAGATGGAACAGCCCACCACATACCTAGGTTATATGGTATATCCTCTTGCTCCCAGGCTACAAAGGTGTATAGCACATTACTGTACTGAATACTATAGGCAATTATAGCACAGTGGTAAGCAATTATATAGCACAATGGTAAGTATCTGTCTATCTAAACATATCTGAACATGGAGAAGGTAGAGTAAAAATATGGTATAAAAGATAAAAAACAGTCCTGCTATGCAGGACACCTACCATGAATGGAGCTTGCAGACTGGAAGTTGCTCTGGGTGAGTCAGTGAGTGAGTGGTGAGTAAATGTGAAGGCCTAAGACTTTCAGTACATTATGTAGACTGTGTAAACACTGTACAGTTAAGCTACACCAAATTTTTTAGAATTTTTTTTTCTTCAATAGTAAATTAACCTTAGATTAGTGTAACTTTTTTACATTATAAAAAAAATTTTTTGAGGCAGGGTCTTGATCTGTTGCCCAGGCTGGATCACAGTTCACTGCAGCCTCAAACTCCTAGGCTCAAGCAGTCCTCCTGCCTCAGCCTCCTGAGTAGCTGGGACTACAGGTGCATGCCACCATGCCCAGCTAATTTTCTTATTTATTTTTATAGAGATGGGGGTCTCGCTGTGTTCCCCAGGATGATCCTGAACTCCTGGGCTAAAGCAGTCCTCTGGCTTGGTCTTCCAAAGTGCTGGGATTACAGGTGTGAGCCACCACGCCTGGCCTAAACTTTTAAATTTTTAAAATTTTTGACTTTTTTGTAACAACACTTAGCTTAAAACACAAACTTCTTGTATAGCTGTACAAAAATATTTCCTTCCTTCGATCAGGATTATCAATATCACTGTCTTCCACCTCCACATCTTGTCCCTCTGGAAAGTCTTCAGGGGCAATAACATGCATGTTGCTGTCCTCTCCTATGATAACAATGCCTTCTTCTGGAATCCCTCCTGAAGGGCCTGCCTGAGGCTGTTTTACAGTTACCTTTTGTTTCTTTTTTTCTTTCTTTTTTTTTGTGCAAGTAGGAGTACATTCTAAAATAACCATAAAAGATATAGAACATTACATACATGAACCAGTAACATAGCTGTTTATTATCAAGTATTATGTACTTCACACAATTTTATGTGCAGAACTTTTATATGACTAGCACCACAGTAGGTTTGTTTACATCAGCATCACCACAAACGTGAGTAATATGTTGTGCTATATGACATCACTAGATGATAGAAAATTTTCAGCTCCAGCATATTCTAATGGGACTACTGTCATATACATAGTCCATCATTGACTGAAATATGATTAAATGGCACATGACTTTAATTGGTATTAGTCACATCATGGGAAAATATGGCCCAGGTTAAGTAAATGGCTTGAAACTGGTGTCTCAGGAGTGGATAATATTTCTTAAAAAATAGAAGCCACCAGTTTGAGGTCGTTGCTAGACTATACTATATGTGATCATGTTGCTGCTACTTCTATTTTTAAGAGGCTCTGTATTGACTATAGGATAAAGTCCAAGCACCCTCACCTGACCTTCCACGGTCTAGTTCCTGCCTTTTTCAAGCCTCATATTTTATTTTCATATTCCACAAGCTAACTACATTAAATTGCTGGTGTTTTTCATCTGTACCAGGTTGTTTCTAATCTCTATGTCTTCATACCTTCATCCCTTTGCTAAGAATGTATCTCTTCCACCTTCTCTTTGCTTAACTACCCTATTTATTTCCCATGACTCCCCTCTAAAATTTCCTTCATGGAACTTCCCTTATCCCCCCAGCTCTTATTCAGTTGAGTTAAATGCATGGCTCTGGGCTTCTACAGACTCAGCACTTGATTCTGTCATAAGCCTGTAAGGACTGAATTGTTTATTTCTATCACACTGAGTATAGAAACCATGTCTTAATTATTTTTTATTCCTAGATGGAATCTTATCTAGTGATGTTTGCACAGAGCAAACATAAAAGGCCAAATAATTATGTCATGGTTTTTGACATTTTTCTGCTCTTGCCTTTGTTGCTACCCTTTGCTTGGCTGGCTATATCACTGTGTGTGCTTTTGGAGGAGAAACAGGAAAAATCACTATTCGGAAAAATAATTCAAACTCAGGTTTTCTAAATGAAGTCCAGACCTTTATCCCAGCTTTCAAGACACTCTGCAATCTGAATCCTCTTCACAATTTTAAACCTGGTATTCTGCAATTCTAATTCTTATGTTAAATTGAACTATTCTGTTCAGAACACTCTTATTCACCCTCTTTCCCCTACTTTGCCTTCCTAGTTCCTGCTGAGCCTCCAGTTCTCAGGTTTGACATCACTTCCTCTGCTGACCTGTGGGTCTGGGATGGACTTTCTTCTATGTGCTCCTATTACATTGCCATACTTTCCTTTGTCTCAGTACTGATCCTACTGGTTTTAGTTGCCATTTATTTGTCTGTGTGCCCCTTAGACTGTAAGCCCCTGGAGGGCAGCTTCTGTGTCTTATATACTAGGGTCTGAGTCCTAGTGTATGTTCAATAAATGATTGTTGAGTGACTTTATTTACCAACGATTTGTAGAGTATTTCTCATGTGCCAACACTGTTATCAGCCATATAACACTGTAGGAAAAAGATGACAAAAATCTCTGTCTCATGGAGATGTGACTAGTTATTTGGTACTAGTCTAAAGACAGTGTGGCTATGTATGATCAAACAGTTATAGGAAATATCTTAGCACTTGCCAAAATCAGGATGACTCCCCTTGCTCACCCAGGCTTTACTTTCTTATCCAGAGGCAGAGATCAAATATTTCACTATCTTTTGTTCCTTAAATCCAATACTAAGTAGCAGTTACTCTTACTCATGTTGCTTTAAATATTTATGTTTAGTTTTGTAACTATTTCTTTGTAAATATTCATAGCTTTGTAAACACTTTTTCTTATGTCTGGAATGTATTCCACCCTAGTTATCATCATCATCAATACTAATAATTGTCAACAGAATCTTTAATGTCAAGAACTTTCTGAGTGTTCACTATGGATAAGTGCTTTGAAAGGTGTTTTCACCTTTATTAGTAAGGGTAAGGGTAACTTATTTCACCCTCCTAAAAGAAGAGCATTATTATTCTTATTTTACAGGCAAAGAAATAGAGAGTAAGAAAATTGCTTAACTTAGAGAGGATCCATGATAGCCAAATAGGAACAGCTCTGGAGTGCAGTTCCCAGTGAGAACAACACAGAGGGTGAATGATCACTGCATTTCCAAATGAGTTATTACTGCCCACAGGCCAGGAGATTCCCAGGCTGAAAAGAGCTACAAATTTCCAGCACCACTGTTTCAGCTGGTGCAGCAGGTTTCTGCACAAAAACTCACACAAATCTGGGTGCTGTTTCAACTGGCACCTGGAATGCTTGAGAGACAGAGCCGCCCATTCAACTGATAAAAGGGGGCTGAAATAGGGAACCAGGTGATCTGGCTCAGTGGGTCCCACCCCCACAAAGACCAACAATCCGAAATGCTCTGGATTGAGAGTTTTGCAGCAAGCACAGCTGGACCCGAGATGGTCCAGCTCTGTGGGGGAAAGGGTGTCCACCATTACTGAGGCAGCCCACCATTACTGAGGCAGACCGCCATTACTGAGGCAGTTCTAACTATACCTCTGTAAACAAAACCGCAAGGAAGTTCACACAGCAGCTAGGCAGAGCCCACGGCAGCTCAGCAATACCTCTGCTGACAGACTGTGACTAGGTTACCTCCTTGTTGAGTAGGGTATCTCTGAAAAAAGGCAGCAGCACATCAGGAACTTATAAATAAAGCCACACCTTCCCAGGACAGAGCACCTGGGAAAAAAGGCAGTCATGAGTTCCACTGCAGCAGACTTAAAGGTACCTGTCCAGCAGCTCTGAACAGAACAATGGAGCTCACAGCTCAGCATTTGAGCTCCTATAAGGGACAGACTCTCTCCTCAAGCAACTCCCTGACTCCCATATATCCAAGGAGACACCTCATAAAGGAGAGCTCAGGCTGACATCTGGTGGGTATCATTCTGGGATGAAAATAGTAGAAGAAGAAACTAGCAGCAACCCTTACTGTTCTGCAGCTGCTGCAGGTGATCCCCAGGCAAGCAGGGTCTGGAGTGGACCTCCACCAGTCCTACAGCAGAGGGGCCTATTAGAAGGAAAACTAAAAAAAAGAAAGAAATAACTTCAACGTCAACAAAAAGGACATCCACTCAGAGACCCCATCTGAAAGTCACCAACTACAAAGACCACAGATGGATAAATCCACAAAGATGGGAAGAAACCAGGGCAAAAGCATGAAAACACCCAAAACAAGAACGCCTCTCCTCCTCCAAGGGATCACAACTCCTCACCACCAAAGGAACAAAGCCAGATGGAGAATGAGTCTGATGAATTGACAGAAACAGGCTTCAAAAGGTGGGTAATAACAAACTTCTCTGAGCTAAAGAACATATTCTAACCCAATGCAAAAAGGTTTGACGAAATGTGAATGAGAATAAACAGCTTAGAGAAGAATATAAATGACTTAAGGGAGCAGAAAAACACAACACGAGAACTTCGCAAAGCATATACAAGTTTCAAAGCTGAGCTGACCAAGCAGAAGAAAAGATGTCAGAGATTGAAGATCAACTCAATGAAATAAAAGGAGAAGGCACGATTAGAGAAAAAAGAGTGAAAAGAAATGAACAAAGCCTCCAAGAAATATGGGATTATGTGAAAAGACCTAGTCTATGTTTGATAGGTATACCTGAATGTGACAGAGAGAATGAATCCAAGCTGGAAAACACTCTTCAGGATATTATCCAGGAGAACGTCCCCAACCTAGCAAGGCAGGCCAACATTCAAGTCCAGGAAATACAGAGAACACCACAAAGATATTCCTCAAGAAGAGCAACCCCAAGGCACGTAATCATCAGATTCACCAGGGTTGAAACAAAGGAGAAAATGCTAAGGGCAGCCAGAGAGAAAGATCGGGTTACCCACAAAGGGAAGCCCAAGAGACTCACAGTGGATCTCTCAGCAGAAACCCTACAAGCCAGAATAGAGTGGGGACCAATATTCAACATCCTTAAAGAAAAGAACTTTCAACCCAGAAATTCATATCCAGCCAAACTAAGCTTCATAAGTGAAGGAAAAATAAAATCCTTTACAAACAAGCAATTGCTGAGAGATTTCATCACCACCAGGCCTGCCTTACAAGAGCTCCTGAAGGAAGCACTAAACATAGAAAGGAACAACCAGTACCAGCCACTCCAAAAATGTACCAAATGGTAAAGAGCTTTGACACAATGAAGAAACTGTGTCAACTAATGGGCAAAACAACCAGCTAGTATCAAAATGGCAGGATCAAATTCACATATTACAATATTAACCTTAAATGTAAAAGGGCTAAATGCCCCAATGAAAAGATGCAGACTGGCAAATGGGATAAAAAGTCAAAACCAATTGGTGTGCTGTATTCAGGAAATCCATCTCACCTGCAAGGACACACATAAGCTCAAAATAAAGGGATGGAGGCAGATTTACCAAGCAAATGGAGAGCAAAAAAAAGCAGGAGTTGCAATCCCAGTCTCTGATAAAATAGACTTTAAACCAAAAAAGATCAAAAGAGACAAAGAAGGGCATTACATAATGGTAAAAGGATCGATGCAACAAGAAGAGCTAACGATCCTAAATATATACACACCAAATACAGGAGCACCCAGATACATAAATCAAGTTCTTAATGAACTACAAAGAGACTTAGACTCCCACACAATAATAGTGGGAGACTTTAACTCCCCACTGACAATATTAGACAGATCAATAAGACAGAAAATCAACAAGGATATTCAGGACTTGAACTCAGACCTGGACCAAGCAAACCTAATAGACATCTGCAGAACTCTTCACCCTAAATCCACAGAATATACATCCTTCTCAGCACCACATCTCACCTACTCTAAAATTGACCACATAATTGGAAGTAAATCACTCCTCAGCCAATGCAAAGGAATGGAAATTATAATAGTCTCTCAGACCACAGTGCAATCAAATTAGAACTCAGGATTAAAAAACTAACTCAGAACTGCACAACTTCATGGAAACTGAGCAACTGGCTCTTGAATGTTGCCTGGATAAACAATGAAATGAAGGCAGAAATAAAGATGTTCTTCAAAACCAGTGAGAACAAATACACAATGTACTAGAATCTCTGGGACACATTTAAAGCAGTGTCTAGAGGGAAAATTATAGAAAATTACTTGACTTGTCCTGGGCCATTCAGCTGGTAAGTGGGAAACCTCTAGAGGAACCAGTGTCTGCCAAGCCACAAACCATTGCTTTTTCTCCTTCCCAACACTGCATCTGTAGCAGTCTATAAGGTCTATTCAGTTGTTTAGTGCACACATGTGTGCCACACACACACTCACAATAGGCTTGGCACTGGCTTTGCTTTGAGAAACACTCAGGAAAATCTCTGTATGTGCTTAAACCCCTCTGACATCCCCATGCAATGACGTATTCTTCCCTGAGGAAGCAGCCTAGTATCATTGGCAGATGACGTGTCTGTTGCTCTTAAGCATGTTACACCAAGACTTTTGCCACCCTTCCGTAGAACAGATCCTCCACATTGCAATGAAAAAGGTGATTATATAGGATATTGCTGAGTTTCCTATTTTAAAAAATTACAATTTTATTGGAGATTACATTTGTTTGATGTTTTATGTTTTTATTGGAGAACAGGTAGATATTTTCCCCTTTAATGTCAGTGAACTAAGAGTTACACAATTGGATCACGAAGGGCCCACAACTTCTACTCCGAGGGAATGTAATAAAGTGGTCTGAAGACAATCCTTTTTGGAACTGCTGACTTGTTGCCCACCCAGAACTTGGTTGAGGGCTGTATTTATCTCCTGCTTTGCTCAAGCAAGCGTTAACAACGTGGAACCCAGACACACTGGACTTTTAAAAACTTAACTTACCCTACACGTCCCCCTTGGCAGAGGGCTTAAAGCAGTATGGATAAGAATAACTGCTACTTAGTATTGGACCTAAGGGACAAAAGGATAGTGAAATCTTTGATCTCTGCCTCTAGATGTGAAAGTAAAGCCTGGCTGAGCAGGGGGAGTCATCCTGATTTTGGCAAGTGCTGGGATATTTCCTATAACTGATCAGACATATCCACACTATCTTTAGACTGGTGCCAAAGAAATATTAAAACATGTCTCAGCAGAAAGTACATAACAGGCATGGTTGATGCCTCTCCTCTCTTGCTTGGGTGACAATGCTGTCTTACCTCCTTCAATTTCTTGTCTCCTTGTGATGCTAAGTCAAGTGGCAACGGCAGCAGCCAACCCCAGATTGTGCCTGCTGCTGCTGCTGCTGCCGGAACCTCAGCCAGCACTGACTTTCACCCTTTTCAGTGGCACCTGGAAGGACAGTTGCATCACCTGTTCTGACTGAGCAGTGAGTGGCCATGGACTATTTTGTGTCACAGACTTTCAGTTTGTAGAAAGTGTAAAGCTGACCTAGACTGATCATCTGGATGACCTGTATCCTTGCATATTACCCACCAGGACTGCTACAACCTGTGCTTTCCTGTGACTCTGGAGGCTGGACACCAGACCCAAGATGACGATGGCAGAAAAAAAGAATGGGGAGACCCAAAAATCTACTGAGCTTGCTCTTTTGTTTGAGGCATACACTGCTACCTGTTAATATAGTATAGTTGGATATTTTTGTTGAAACAGTAGTAAAACACCTCTAATGCCAGGCAGGCACATTGAGAGAAATAAAATAAACTTACTTGGTTTGAAGAAATAAGTCAAATATAAGGATTAGCGTCTGATTCTTTTGCAGCTGGGCAAGAGTTGTAAACTCAAAGTTACTACCTCCCTAGAGTCTTCTTTCAATCCTCAAGTGACAGATGACTTCTACCACTGGTACAACACAAAACATCTTCTGTCTTATATGGCAGGTATGTGGGTAGCCTTGTGTACCACACAGGATCATGAACCTCTGAAGGCTGACACTTTTCTAATACAACTTTGGGGTCCACACAACTTTGGGATTCTCTAGAATAATAAAATTTTGTTCATAAAGAGAATTACACTCACCTGTTCCATCCATGGTCCAGTTTTCATCCTCATCAAAATGAGTGTCACCGCCCAGACCTGGACCAGGAGGAAAGGCATGGCCAAGCACTCCCAAGGGACCATCAAAATAGCGAGGACACCGACCATGGACTGAGATACAATTCATGGGAGGAAAAAAAGATCAGATCCCTCAAATCTCCTGAGATGAAAATAGCTTTGCTCTCTGTTGAAAACCTTACCTCGAGTCCTAAAGGCAATCATGATGTCGGCAATCCCCTTTGAAATCCTGGTGAATTTTAGTGGAGTAACTTTGCTCCACACTTCCAAACCTTCTTGGATAGCCTCATCCACAGCAGCTCGTGCCATGTCCGGAGTATAGTTTATTATTCTTGAAAATTAACAAAATATGTCAATTTCTAGTTGATGCATGCAAGTATATATATACATAACTACAAAAAACATTTCTAGCTTATCAACAATGTGCTGCAGTAACTTTTGCTGTGGTGCAATTATCTTACAGTTGCATACCACTTTATTTAAATGAAATACTCTTACACATACTATGCAACTCAATTCCTTTATATTCCCTATGAATCAGGTAGTATTATAACACTTCAACAAAGGAGGCACAAAGAGGTTAAATGACTTCCCTAAGGTCACACTCTGAGATAGCATTTATGTCATGTATGCGTTGGCTTGTACATGAAAGTATCATAAAGACATTCTTAATAACAATTGAGAATCATTTTTTGAATGGCTTGTGGAAATCAGTCTTGTGCATTTATCATATTAAGAATCATGTATTAAGAATTTTTTTTCTTTTCGAGGCAGAGTCTCCCTCTATCCCCCAAGCTGCAGTGTAGTGGTGCAGCCATGGCCCACTGCAACCTCTGCCTCCCAGGTTCAAGTGGTTCTCATGCCTCAGCCTCCTGAGTAGCTGGGAATATAGTCACCCACCACCACACCCAGCTGAGTTTTCTATTTTTCAGTAGAGATGGGATTTTGTCATGTTTGTCAGGCTGGTCTCAAACCCATGACCTCAGGTGATCCGCCCGCCTCAGCCTCCCAAAGTGCTGTGCTTACAGGCATGAGCCACCACGCCTGGCCCATATATTAAGAATCTTACATGAGAACCACAAGAATTACTTAGGAAAAGATATTTCTTCCCTATCTTGCTAAACCCATTTTTATCTCAAGTCCTAGGATTCAGTAAGATGAAGGAAGAACCATCAGAAAGGCTCTCGAGTGGTGGTCAAGGTGACTGCCTGTGTCTCAGATCAAAGTCATACCTCATCCTCTTTCTGCCAATGAATCAGCCCCCTTTTCCTTGCTATGTCTGAGGGAAACACCATACTTTGCCCTGAGGGTCTCATCTGAGATCTGGCAACTCTCTCTTTAACACACACATCTCTGACACAAACTGGTTGTGTTCCAGAGTCTTCCCATTTTCTCCTGAGCACCCTTCATCTATGCTGTCAAGTATCTGCAGTCAGATGACAGTATTTGTTCTGAGCTTATATGATGGTGGCAGAGGCTAGAGATTAGAGCATGTCTGCTGGAGCCATTAAGAGCTGTGTATCCTCACCTATGGTAAATAACCTTTTGTTTCAGTTTCTTAGTATTTAAGGTGGCGGTAGCCACAGTGCCTACAGCACAGGGTTGTTGGGAGGATGCCATAAATGGAACCTATGATGTGCTGTGCACATAGGAAGTGGTCAGTCAAATGAATGAATATTATTTTGTTTCTTGGAAATTATATTTGTGTTCCTTTGGATTAGGTGGAAATGGTTGGCATTACCTGTAGGTGAGGTTGTATTTTCTCCACCCAGGGAGGGTGTAGCCATACTGACCCACATCAGGCACCCCACACCTGGGTGTCTTCATGATCTCAAGGGTGTTTGAGTCCAGTTTTCCAGTCACTGTCAATCCAAAAAATGCTTGCATTTCCCGAATTTTGTCATCTGTGAGACTCCAATTCTTGCTTTGAACAAGATGATTCCCTTCGATTTCAAGAGAGTAGAACTGGTTGAGATATGCCTGACCAAAAAGATAAGAAAAAAAAAAGAGGCACAGACTCCAGGAGAGCAAATCTCCATCTCAGGATAAAGCAAAATTGCCTAAAATTCCCTTTGGCAATAGGAAGGAGGGTAAAAAAAAGAAGTAATGAGAGAGAGAGAGAGAGGAGTGAAGGAGGAAAGAAGAAAGGAAGGACACAAAGAGGAAAATAATGAGTCACGCTGCTCTTGCAGTTTCCAATACTTGGTTGACTTATGAGTGACCAGAATTAGCCAAAGCACACAGCTCATAAACCTCCATAGAAAAGAATGAAGCTTCTTCTACCTGTTGAATGATGACATATCTTACATATTTTTGCTGTTACTTTCATTTTGGTGTTTCTCTGAAACAAATTCTAGAAGAAATAAGTGATTATCCATTTTGCACATGTATTTGATTTAACCAAATACAAAAAGTTAACTGAACTGATTTTTAGAGGGAATCTCTAAAGCAACGTATTTTTCAGACATTTATGGATAAGGGCTCCAAACTGTAGATTGAGTCCTCTTGTTTGTCTTGAAATGCGTTTACAGCGATCTCCATGTCTTGCAGGGCTTTCTCCTTTCTCCTCTCACTAAACATCCCTTCACTCGTGACCATTGCTCAAAGTTATAGCAGATCCTTTCCCCCTCCCTGTCCCCCCTCACAGTTTCTTGAAATCCTTAGAGCTAGACAAAAGAAAAGCAGCTCCTTCTCACAAAAAAAGTCCAGAACTCTTTTGCAGGAATGTGTTTTCTTTTTAGGTCCCAAGAGAATCAGTAAAATAAATTTTTTATCAATAGTCATTGATATTATTTATTGAGACAGTACCTGAGCCAGTTGCACGTTTTCTTCATTTTCCATCATTTGGGCTGCAGGAAATGCAGAAGAAAATGTTACAAAGAACAAAAATAGAAGCAGAAGGCACTTCATTCCTCTCTTTCTTCAGCTAAAGTCGATTCTGTTAGCACAGAATTTAGAAAATAATAGGAGACGTGGCATGAATTGGCTTGTATCATCATTTAATTAACAACAGAAAAGGATACTTGCCATAAAGTGTGTCATGATTTGCTTTTTTTTTTTTTAGCCTGACCTGATTTTGTAATCATGGTCTGCAACTGTTTAGAAAACACAAGTTATTGCTTATTACTGAATTGAATGTACTGTGAAGTGAGCCTTCAAGTTGCTTTCTTCCTTGCAAAGTTTTCTTTTGAAGGCAATCTCAAAATATCTTGGTAGGATGTCATCATAAAAAGGCAAATCAATCAGGAATCAGATTACCCTAATTAACCAAGGGAAACTTCAAATGTTTATCAAATTCCTACTATTCGCCTGCCCCTGTGAATGCAATCTTGTTGGAGAATTCAGACACATACAGAAATTAATGCAGTACAAAATGGAGGCAAGTGCAAATAGACAGTGCAGATTATAAAGACTAAGAAGGGCCAGAGGCAGACAGATCACCACTTATGAATGTGGCCTTGAGGTTTTATGCAAGTTAAATAATGGCATAAATACCATTATAACACAAATCTTGATCATCTCTACTTACTCCCCTTCATCCTGTCTCTCCAGAGGTGAATTAGACTATTTAAACTATATGCATCTATTAAAACAGTAAATAATAGAATTTCTGAAAGAGGATTTATAATTGGAATGAGCCTGCACTGGGACTTGCGTGAGGGCTTGCTCTGGGTTTTGGAGAATGGGTAGAATTGGATTTACAGAGAAAGGAAGAAGGTGTCTCAGTGCCAAGAAGCCATGGGAGGTCGGTAACATAGCAGAAATGAGCTGTAGGAAATCTGACTTGACTGGAACAAAATATATATGTAGACAGCCATGGGAGATGGGATGGAGGGTCTCATGGAGAAGACAGCTGACTGGGAAGATGAAGGCCAAAATTAGAGGTCATGGATGATGAAGGCCAAAATTAGCATTAGAAGTGAGAGTATGCTTAGTGAGAGGCTTTTGGATTATTTTCAATATTCTTCTTTACTTGGGCTACTTTTAGATGAAGGAATACTATTAGTTACAGCAATGTTCTCTCTGACCTGTCCTCCCCTTTTCTTCTACCAATTATTAAAATTTTCTTCCCTTTCTCCCCAAATGTTAACTCTTCGACTGATAGACCATTCTAAATCTTCCTTGTCTATATCCTAAATAAAATTTCTATGACACAGCTGAAGGACTTGTAGGTTCTAAGTAGATATATACTTCCTTTGCATTTAAAACTCATCCCAATTATAAATCCTGTTTCAGAAATATTATTATTTACTGTTTTAATATATGTATATAGTTTAACAGTTTAATTGACCTCTGGAGAGACGAGATGAAGGGCAGTAGGCAGACATGATTAAGATTTGTGTTATACTGGTATTAAATACAAGTATGCTCATTGTATTGTTCTTTTGTGTTTTTTAAACTCTGAAATATTTCAGAACAAATTTAAAAATAATAGAGTTACTAAAAAAAGGTAAGTCAAATGGTGCTATCTTGTTATAATGAAAAATCATCTCTCTTCTCCCACCTTGCATTCTTTCAAGTCCTGCTCCCACAGGTAACTTCTTTAAATTATTTTTATAGCTTTTAATCCTTATGTTTAACTCCACATTTGTAAATAGCATGCTATGCTACTATTTCTCAAGTTTTCAAAGTTAAATGTTATTATCAACATCTTCCTATGGAAGAGAAGGACTCAACACTCCTTCCACTTTCCTAATTTAGTTATAGGAATGTTTTAAGCCAGTAATTAGTGTTTATACAATTATGACCTTTAAATATTCACAAGAGAGCCATATTGTATACTATGATTACATCTCCTTTCTTTCTTTCTTTTTCTTTTTTTTTTGAGATGGAGTCTCACTCTGTCACCTAGACTGGAGTGCAATGGCACAGTCTTGGCTCACTGCAACCTCTGCCTCCTCGGTTCAAGCAATTCTCTTGCCTCAGCCTCCCTTGTAGCTGAGACTACAGGCATTTGCCACCATGTTTGGCTAATTTTTGTATTTTTAGTAGAGACAGCGTTTCACCATGTTGACCGGGCTGGTTGTGAACTCTTGACCTCAGGTAATCCACCCACCTCAGCCTCCCAAAGTGCTGTAACTATAGGCATGAGCCACTGTGCCCAGCCTTACAGCTCCTTTCTTGTATAACCTTTTTTCTCTGCAGGTGATAGTTGAATTTATTTTTACATGTTAATTCTTTACCAAATTCTTCAATAGAATTCTTAAACTCTTCTCAGAATAACCAAACATGACAAGAAATGTAGCAGCAATTTTTTCCCCTTGAACTCATCCCTCGGAGACCCCTTGCTTGCCTTCTGCAGTGTGGGTCTGTTGAAGAACTGTCATCCTCCCATCAACCAGAGAACCCTGTGTTAGACTTCTGCTTACTAGGTTTCCTTTCTACCTATGTCTTGATTTGCTCCCTTGTTTTGATGCGACTTATCCCTCAGGAGTTTTCTAAGAAAGAATATAAGGAAAATGAATATTCTGAATTTTGTCATGCCTAAGAATGCCTTTTATTCCATCCTCACACTTGATTGAGAGTATGACTAGATACAGAATTTCAGTTTAAAAGAAATTTCCCTGAGAACTTTAAAAGATAATGAAGATTCCATTATTTTCCAGACTCTAGTGCTGCTGTTGAAAAGGTTTATACTCTGATTCTTGATGTTTTTCTTTTGAAAGATTTTGGAAAGCTTCTCTTTACCTAGGTATCTATAAATTTTATAATTATGTCCCTTGATGTAGGTCTTTTGTATTAACATTTGGACAGTAAGTTGGCCCTTTTTTCATAGAAACTTCAATTTAAGGTAACTTTCCAATATAGTTTCATTTATAATTTCTTCCCATTCATTCTTCTCTTTCTCTTTTCAAAACGTGTATCTGTTGGACCTCCTGGACTGAGTCTTTCTGCTTCTAATATATCCTATTTTCTAGCAACTTAACTTTCCAGGTCAACTATTGAGTGTTTAATTTCAGCTGTGGTATTTAATTTTCAAGAACTTTTTCCAGTTCTGAGTACTCTTTTACATTTTTAAGCTTTTGTTTCTTTGCATTTTGTTAGTTTTTTTGGATGTAAACTATGTCTTATTTATGTTTTTAAATAAATTACTAAATAATACATAATTCATAACTAAATAATTAAATAAATAAATAAGACATACTTTACATCCAAAATGATATTCTTATATTTAATTCTTGTATTTATTTATTTGTCTAAATAAATAAAAGAATGCATAGTCTGTTACCCAAGCTCAAATGCAGTGGTACAATCATGCATGACTCACTGCAGCCTCAAACTCCTGGGCTCGAGTGATCTTCCTGCCACAGCCTCCCGAGTAGCTGGGACTGTACGTACATGCCACCGTGTCCAGCTAATATTTTTATTTTTATTTTTTGTAGCATCAGGGTTTCTTTATGTTGCCGAGTCTGGTCTTGAATACCTAGCATGAAGCAGTCCTTCTGCCTCAGCCTCCAAAAGTGTTGGGATTATGGGCACAAAGCACTGTACCCAGCCTCTTCTTATTTTTAAAGAATGTTCATGTTAAGTATGCTTTAGTTTATTTTAGCATTTTCTTTTGCTTCTAGAATTGTCTCTAGTTCCTCAAAGTCTGTCTTTTGGTCTTTGTTTTTGGCACTGCAATCTTTTCAAAAATATTTGGTAACTTTGCAATGTGCAATCTGCTTAAGAATGAGAGACAAGAAAGCAGACTGGAAGCTCTCATGTGTGTAGGCAGGGCTGGTGAATTGATGACCTTCACTGCAGGGAGGTGGGGCACATTCCACACCCTTCATGTGATATATTAGTCAGGATGAGATCTGGTTGAATGTAACACAAAATCCCAAAATAACAGATGCTTAGGTAAATAAAAATTTATTTTCGCCTTACATTAAAAAAAAATGCCCAGATTTGGAAGCCTAGGGTTGGTATAACAGCTCCATATCATCAGGGATAGGCAACTTTGCTATACCACACTTAGTATCTACTTTGCTATATCACTCTCAGTTCAATGCTTGATGATCTACATGACATCTCAACCTCTGGCCATTATATCTGCATTACAGTCAGAAAGAAGGAGGAAGGCAGAGAAAAAGTAATTTTCCAGAAGCCTCGCACAACATTCTGCTTACACATTTTGGCTAGAAATAAACACATGATCATATCTAGCTGTAATCATAGCTATAAGCAAGGCTACAAAACCTAGTCTTTTAGCTGGATGCATTGCTACCTCAAAAAAACTGGAGTCTCATTGCAGAAGTGGAGAGTGGAGGTCAAGATAGGTCGTTAGTAGCCCTGCCACACTGAGATTTCTCCAGTGTTGGTATCTGTAAATTTGTTTTTTCTGGAGCTACTAAGTTACTCCAGAGAAAACTCATGCAATTTCCCATCATTTAAATCTCCAAGGAACCAAGCTGTAGGAGATTCTACTGATGTCCTCTGTCACATACCCCCAGCATTAATTTAGTTGCAGAAGGGGTAGACTGGTTTGTGTAACTCACTTTGGTCTGACAAAGTGCAAAAGTAATTGTGATCACAATTACTTTTGCACCAACCTAATACAACTTTAAGCACAGGCTGTGTACCTTTTTGCTTTCTGCCCAGAGCATTGAGATGCCATCAAGCCTGCTAGGCCAGCATGAGAGTACAGCCTAGAACTGTAAAGAAGTTAACACTCTCAGGGACCATTCTTATCCAAAGGGGAATGGAAACTGAGGGATGAATATTCCAGCCTCCTGCTCACTGGAGATGTGAACAATTGGAAGCTGGTCTACAGGCTTCTAAGAGACCCCTGGTGGACTTGAGCTTCAATTGCTCGTAGCAGAAACCTTGATAACACATCGTTGCATTGGCTTTTCCTCCTTCCCTGCCTCACTCTGCTTACTGCCTCATCTTGGTACTGTGTCCTGAAAAAAATAAATGAACCACTGTCTTAACTTAGGCTTTGCTTTTGAACAAATTCAACCTAAGATATATATGAATCTCATTGTTGAAATTCTAAGCTTAGACCCGGCATGGTGGCTCATGCCTGTAATCCCAGAACTTTGGGAGGCCAAGGCAGGAGAATCACTTGAGATCAGGCATTTGAGACCAGCCTGGGCAACATAGTGGGACCGTATCTTTACAAGATAAAAATAACTGGGCATGGTGGTGTGTGTCTGTAGTCCCAGCTACTTGAGAGGCTAAGGTAGGGGCATCGCTTGAGGCCAGGGGGTTGATGCTGCAGTGAGTTGTGATTATACCACTGTACTCCAGCATGGGTGATAGAGCAAAAACCTGTCTAAAAAATAAATAAACAAATACATTCTAAGCTTAGATCTTTACATATCTCGTGCTCATTCAAAACATCAATGTAACAGCTGGAAAATACTACATGTTGTCAACAAGAGAATTTTTTTTTAATGGAATAACTCTTTGAATTCTTTATTACACTTCATTTTGTAGTTCATTGTCTATGACTCTGTCAAATGTGGTTAAAAAATAATATGAGATCAGTTCTTATCTCAAAGATGTATAGATGAGGTTTGAGCTAAGAATCTATCATAGTTAGCTAGCACAACTAGCAGGTGTTCTGAGAAGATAAAACACTCATTTTCATGCCTGTAGTTTCCTAAAACTTTCATAACTAACATTATAGAAAGTTTTAAAAAACATGGTAGTCTGAAATTGATTCTATGATTAAAAATGTAATATTCAATTCTTATAGGTCCTTTTGCACTTGTTACATTGATGTGATGACTTGCTTATACGTCTCTCTCACTTTCCTGAGCACCACCCCTGACACATAATTAATGGTAGGTAATCAATTAATTCTTGCTGAATAAATCAATGGATGTAATGAGAGTACATACTTGTATCAGTTTTCTTATTTTGTAAAATAAGTTGCCAATAATGTATTAACAAAATTTTTGAAGATCTCAAATATTTATAAAATATTTCGGATGCTGTGAAGCAGTATCTAAAATTTATTATCAATATTATAATAATTCTGACACAAGAATAAATGGCTGCAAATATACCTAAAATTTGTTATTCCTTTTTATACTTTAGGTGAATTATGTGGTGATACTTTAAGAAATTAGAAGCAAATCACAACTCAGTTATTTAAAGTAAAAATCTTTAATTTGAACTTATTTAATAGATTTTTAAAATTTTCAAACCAGATTAAAGATGCCAAATTAATTATCTGTGGGATTTAAAAACTTTAACAGAAAAAGAAAATAGGAAGTACTAGTGAGAAATATGCTTTACTGTCCACATATTTATTGCATAATAATCTATATTATATTCTAATAACAGCAAATATAACATTATAATGATTTTAACATCTGGACTAGCTAGACATGGTCACATAAATCCTACAGTTCTTAACAAAGAAACTCATCCATTAGCAAACTTATGCATCTAAGCTCAGTTTAATGCAACTTAATGAGACATTGAATTTTATGCCGTAAACCCCAGTAATCTATAGTGTGTGCCCTCCTGAGTACCCCAGGAAATAAAGAACTGAGGAACATCAGATCCACCCAGCCCATTTATTTGGACTGTAGAAGAAGAGAGCCAGGAGGAGGGAGGAGAGGAGGTAATGGTCTCTTTAGGCTGCTCTCCTGGGAAGATGCCTAGTAGTCCTTAGCAAGGGCTCCACATCAGCATCCTTTGTTGATTCATTTTCCTAAGTGTAGATGCACTTAGGAACAAAGTACTGCAAACTTGGTGACTTAAAACAAAAGAAATTTATTCCCTCACAATTCTGGAGGATAGAAGTCTGAAATCTGCAGGTGTCAGCAGGGTCATGCTTAAAGGCTATTGGGGGGAATCCTTCCTTGCCTCTTCCAAGCTTCTAGTGGTGGCTTACAGTCCGTGGCATTCCTGGCTTGGAGATGGCTTGAAGATGTCATTCCAATCTCTGCCTCTGCCTTCACATAGACTCCTCCCATGTCTCTCTTCTTCTTATAGGAACAACAGTCATAATGGTGACTCTCTGAGAAATAAGGCCCACCCTAATTCAGTATGACCTCACCTTAACTAATTCATCTGCAAAGACCCTGGTTCCAATTAAGCTCACATTCATAGGTACCTGGGGTTAGAACTTCAACATATCTTTTATGGGAGACACAATTCAACCCACAAAATATATCATCCATATTTCTTTCCAAGAGTAGAAAACAGCAACAGCACCACAATTTCTGTAAAGGCAAAGGGTACTGGCTAGGTTGCTTATAACCCTTACTTCTAACCAAAATCTAGTTCTAAATTGCATGTAGAAGATATACATAGGACATTTAAAGAGAGAGACTGAGGTATATATGCAGTCAGATAGGCAAATAATAAGATAATAAATTTTAGAAGTCAGATATATAAGTATTGAAATAGTAAATATTGAAGTGACAAAAGGCTTACTTTCCTTCTCTGATGGATTCACTAATTTAAGGTGGAATATATAAGAACTGATTAAGCCTCTGCAAACAGTGGAATATTCCAAACATATTTTACCGAGAACAGGCAGAATGGATACAGTGATGGCAAACAATGACTTAATAGTGAGAAAAGTATAAATAGGACACAATGTAATGAATATGCATACTAAACTTCCCTTCCACATTCTGAAAATGGATACAACCATATTTGATTTTGCTTCAGCTTTATCTGCAGTTAAGCCATTTATTGCCTCTAGCAACTCTGGTAACTCTCTGAGCACTAAGATCAAATGCATAATATATTGGTCCACTGAAGAAAAGGAAGAAGTCTATAAAAAAAAGAAAAGAGATAATTTATTGAATTAGCTTATAGAAGATCTCAGATGTCTTCAGTTAGAAAACCTGCCCCTGTTCCAGTATAGCATTCAAATGCAAACATACTATTTAAAAAGTTTAAACACCAGGTGTGATGGCTAATGCCTATAATCCCAGAACTCTTGGAAGCTGAGGCAGCAGAATTGCTTGAGGCCAGGAGTTTGAGACTAGCCTGGGCAGCACAGTAAGACCCTATCTCCTCTGCAATAAACAAACAACACATTTATTAGTTTTTTTTTTTTTCTTTTTTCTACTTACGTTCTTGCTGGAAAACTGCGTCAACTTTCCTTTCTATTCCTGGAAAGATATCTGATATTCTTTGGGGATAACCTGGTTCCATGAGTTGTCTTTGGTTATCATATCTGGTAAAAACAAAATGTCACCCGATTTAAGGCCAATACAGAATAAAAATAATGTTTTAAAATTGTATGTAAGTTACAAAGTCTCCTCATGCATATTTTTTCATTCAATTCTCACAATGTCCTGTTTACTAGGATTAAGAATGGTTAACTTCTCTACCTGAGGGTACATATTTATAAAACTTACAGGTATCACTAATTCTAAAACAGGCTTCTGGTAGCAGACACACTGTTATTTTTTCCAAAGTAAGTTTATGTTTTCAAAGCTTTTACTTAATTGGTATATAGTATAACTCCTTCTGTGTGTGTATATATATAAACATACATAATAGGTTCAACTTGGGAACCAAATTCTGCAGGCTATCTGGATAACATTTGCTGGCATGTGTCCAAATTTAACTCATAAATGAGAATTAGCCTAAATCTTTCTTTGTATCTCACCCTATCTCTTTGTTAAGGCTTTCTTTGTTTCATGATGCAGAATCCTCAATACTATTGTGTGGACATTTTAATTTTATAAAAATGAAAATTTTCAAAAGCCATGGTAACATCAGTCATCCTGTAAAAAAGAATATATTCTCAGTAAAACCCATTAAAGACTACCTAGATTGTTTTAAACCTTCAAATGCTTGAAGGTTTGTAGACAGGGTAGAGAAACACAGATTTCAACCTATAATTGAAAAAACAGTTTACATTACCTCCAGAATTGGTCATTTACAAAGAAGTATGTTTTACTTCTGTAGAAGACAGCTGCATCAATTGCTTGGACACTGCTGGGGAAGCCATAGTTTGATATATCCCTGGGATAACCTTGCTGAATATCATAGCCACTCAGAGCCCAGTATTGGTTGCCTGTCAATGATTCAGGTTAAATGACAAGTAAGACTTTTCCATTTTTATAAAATAACATATATATATATCACTTCTTGGTCTTGCACATAGACATGAAAATGGAACAAATAGTCTTTAAAAGATAAAGATAGTAAAGTTAAGTTCAGGGGGGCTGTGACAGACTTAATGGCTCCCCAGAGCCCATAAAAAATTAAAATTTCTTAGCAAGACATTCAGGGCCCCAAAATTAGATGCCTTAGTTTGTGTGACTTTTGTACCTACACCAAGTTACAGCCTTGAGGAGTCTTAGAGAATTATATCTGGGATGAGGATGGAAGTATGCTAACAACAGTCTAGTGTGGTCTCATTTTGTTAGAGAGAAAACTGATGGCTGCTGAAGAGCAAATAACCCAGTCAAGTTCACACAGTAGTTAGTGGTTCTGATGGGGCCCAACTCTAGTCTTCTGCAAAAGCCTGGACAGCATTGGACCTGGAAGTGACTACAAAGAAGTCCTGCCCACTCCCTGCAGGCAGAATAAACATATGATGAAAACTTTAGGAAGTTACCTTTAAATAGGAAAACAAGATCCCTGTCAAAATCCTCATAAGCAGCCTGTATACCAGTTGGAAGGGATGGCCAGAATAGAGAAATAAAATTCATTTCGACTCTTTGTAGCTGAGGATGCCTTCTCCAGAAGTACCTAACGAAACATAAGGAAACACACACGCACACACATACATAGTCTAAGTAGGCAGTTCCTGTGACTTTCAAGCTAGTGATGGTCCTTGTAGGATTGCTGGGAGAGTATAATAATCTAATTAATGTAAAATTCCTAGCACAGTGACCACCAAATGGCTAAGCTTTATGATGATATTGTCCATCTAGTGAGTACTTGACAGTTTTCAGAGGAGGTTTCAGGAGTGATCTTATTTGATTACATTTGTCATTGTCTTGCCTTTGCGCATTGAAAAATCTTACTTTGTAGTATCTTTCATTATTCCTCCCACTAAATGCTGACAACATATTGATAAAAGCAACAGCACATACACTCAGCCTGTAATTGCACAGTCACAAAATAACCAACGAACAAATAAAAATTTCACTCAGTTAGATGATTTGCTGCATAGCTAGTTAAGCAGCAGGTTCCATTTACTTGACTGATTATGGATGGAACTGAATGGTGCTTTGGTGTTGAGTAAATTTAACTATGGAATTCCAAGCAGCTGTAGCCCATGTCTATTTATATCACCAAAGGCATCTGAATGTTTGTTAATGTTTTCATGTTTTTTTTTTCCTGGATATTTTGAGTTACCCAGAAAATACTTGATTGCATAAATCCAGTATAGACATAAAAACGGTACAAATCGTCTTTAAAAGATGAAGATGATAAAGTTAATCTCCGGGGCCTATGATAACCTTAATGGTGCCCCAGAACCTATAAAAAAAATTCCAATGAGAAGTACAGGTGTAGAATTCAAGGAAAAGGTGACTAACGTTGACCTAATTTGAATCCAGTTTTAAGGTATGTTAGTAAGAGGAATCAAAGGAAGAAATATTTCAATTTTATACTTGTCTTTAAAGAAAAATATTTCTCCACGGAGTGTGGTGATAGCATCAAATGTCAAGCTGGGGTCACAGGGTCTGGGTGTGCTTGGTCCAGTAGGTTGGATAGGATTGCTTGAAGGTCCTGAAAAAAAAAAAAAAAAAAAAGTCTTTTTTATAAGCAAAAGTCCAGTGTGAGTCTTGGGTACATCAGAGACTTCTCAGAAAGGTGAAGGGTCTTCATGTGAAGAAAAGTGCTACCAGACCATACCATAAAGTATGAAAGTAACTGTATATTTCATCTTTTTAAAGTTTTTGTTTGTTTATTAAAAGGAATGATAGCTTTCAGGGTCAGTTCCAGGTCAAGTTGTGAAGTAAAGAAATTTGAATTCTATGCTCCTTCCCTCCTTTTTAAATTCTAAGCCAATCCTTCTCTGACTTCTTAGTTCTTCTTTCTGATTTTTTGGTCACTCAGCATCTATTGCCTCTCTTCTCACAGAAATCCACTTTCAGAAAAGAATGATATTAGCCTTTTACTCTGTAGCATACATCTAAGTCAGATTTTAGCAATATTTTTTCTGTATTTGAATTTTAATGTTTTTTCTCACTGTGGAATGAAAGACTATAAAAATAGTTAACATAAAAACATTGGTGAACAAAATAACTGGGTGTTGCTGGGATGGGCAGGAGGAAGAAGTTGGGGAATAGAGGCAGTTAGGGTAGGCTCATCATTTCTGAAAAATCTACAATCACAAAACAGTTCTCTGGTTGTGGCACCCTGGCATGCTTGCTTGATTTCAGAGTGCTGTCCCACCAGAGAGGGGAGAGAGCATTTCCCAATTCCACTCCACTCTGTTCCACTCCATTCAATTCTATTTCACTCCAATCCACCATTCCATTTCATTCCATTCCATTCCACACTTTTTTAGGGAGCAGTAAATCCCTTATTGGTTTCTTTTTTTTATTCACAGCCAACTAGGGAACAGAAGGGCAAGCGTGAAGGGAGATGTAATGAGCTTATTCAGGCAATATGGCAAAAAGCCCCTATACTCATCCTCGAAACGTATCAGTAATGCCTTAAAAAAAGTTTCTTTTTTCTCTCCATACTCCACCACCATTCCCCTTCTCCTCCCACAGACAACTGTATTAGTATGTTCATATATATTTTTTTTGTTTGCATGTTTCTTGAAAATGCCTTGCTTTGTTTATATACATTTTAAGTTTACATAGACTTACATATTGTGTAATTTGATTAATACATTGTGCAATATATCTCATTCTGTTTCTTTTTTCACAAAGCACAAAGTTTTAAAGACCCATCTATGTTGTTGCCATATGTGCATCTAGTTCCATGCTTCTGACTCCTGCACCTCACTTCATGGTGTGCAGCCACCACATTTTATTTTTATAGTCTTCTAATAGACCCCCAGGTGCCTTCCAATTTCCACCACCACAAACAACATGGCAGTGAATGTCTTTGGCATGATTTGTACATATCCTCTTATGGACCTACATGAGAATTTCTTTGAGAACTACATCTAGGATCAGGATTGCTGCAGGAAAAGGGATAGTCATGTCTTTTAAAAATATTTAAAATTGGGGCCAGGTGCAATGGCTCACGCCTATAATCCCAGCACTTTGGGAGGCTGAGATGGGCAGATCACTTGAGGTCGGGAGTTCAGGACAAGCCTGGTCAACATGGTAAAACCCAAGCTCTACTAAAAATACAAAAACTAGCCAAGTGTGGTGGCAGGCATCTGTAATTCCAGCTACTCAAGAGGCTGAGGCCGGAGAATCGCTTGAACCTGGGAAGGAGAGGTTGCAGCGAGCCAAGATCGTGCCAATGCATTCTAGCCTGGGCAACAGGGTGAGACTCCGTCTCAAAAAAATAAAATAAAAAAAAGAATATTTAAAATTGGAAATCATAAAAAAGAAGAAGAAAATCCCCACCATCCAAAGACAATAACTGGGAACCACTGTAGTGCATTTCTTCCTAACCTTTTTTTCTTTTAGGGCAGCAATAGAGGCTTAGCCCCCAACACCCTATTTGTTAATGCTATATTACTGGGGAATTTCAGAGTTCAGTTTTATGGAAACTGCAAGAAGTGCAAAGGAAGAGATATTCAAATACTGGGAGTGTCCGCCTATTCCCAGGTCCCACCATGTACTGCAACGGTCTTTAGAAGATCTTACCATAGATGGCCTGAATGCCATTAATGTCATCTTGAGGGAGTGAGTAGGTGCTGGGTTCCCTGAAAGCGTAGTTGGGATACATCAAGGCACCAGGGTCAGAGGAGTGAGAGAGCCCCAAAGAATGACCAAATTCATGAGCAGCAACAAGAAACAAGTTGTAATCTGAAATGCAAACATGGATAGTAAACTGCTCATTGTGGATCACAGCATGGCAGAAACATGATCTCAACGAATGCAAACTCAAGCCAAAACTGCTCAGGGAAATAGCCCTCCCCATGGCTGTCTTTTTCGTCTTTCTTTCAGATACCCGAGAAAGCAGACATTGGGAAGAATCAAGATAGGTGGGGATAGGTGAGTATGAACTTCTTATAAACTCTTAGAACCCAGAAAAGCTGCATTTATTCCTATTCTCACATTTTACAAATGTGCATCTGAGGCCTGGAGAAATGATGGCAGAGCCATCATGAATTTGGAAACCCTTCTCCTCTTGTGTTCCCACATCCACCATCTTGAGTGTCCCAGACCCTCAGCCTCATAAGTAGACTCCCAGTGAGCAAGTAGTTAAAGAGAAGTTAGCCCGACAGTGGAGTAGCCTCAGATGCAGGGCTGGCTCATGTTGGCTCCCTCATCACCCACAGCTTAGCACCAACTCTTCTCTGTTTCTGAGCTTTCCAAGATGCTCTAGGAATTCTCCAATGGAGACAGACAAACCCTATCTCTTATTGCTCCCTTTCTCTATGTTTTAATTTCCATGAGCACAGTGCCGTTCACAACTGGAAACTTAAAACCTTCCAAGGATCTCAATTCCTATCAAATAAAGCCCAACCTCTTTTGCCTGGCCTTCAAGACCTCCACCACTTGGCTCCAGCAGATATTTGAGTGTTTGCCTTTTGATGTGAATCCTTGAATCCAGCCAGTCTACATGCTGCCTCATAAACCCCTGATGCATTTTTTACATGCCTACTTTTTTTTTTTAAAGCCGTTATTGTAGAGTACCTACCACATATGAGGCAATCTAATATTATTTAATCCTCACAACGTTTTCCTGAAGTTTTGTTAGCAATATTTCTACTGTAAAGTGACTGATGCCCATAGATTTTGAATAGCTTGTACTTGGTCTTGCAACTAGTAAGTGACAGATTGGGGTCAAATCCAGGTATAATGACAAGATCCATGCTCTTTACTAAAATGTTCAACATTCAGTTGATAATTAGCCTACTAAAATTCTCCCCATGCTCTAAAATTTGCTTTCTTAACATCACATCCTTCCAATTATACATTCATGAATGCGTTTCAGAAAAACATCTTTGAATACCTGTAACATCGTGAAAGGAACTGTGAGCAGTTTGTTGTGGTTCCCTGCTCTACAGGGAGTATGTAGTCTAGAAGAGGAGACATGTGTGCAAACAATTTGAAAGCACAGAATGAGTGTTGATAGAGAAGGAGATACAAAAGCTGTCAGAATTCTGCAGAGGAAGTTCTCATTTCCAGCCCAAGAGAAGATAGAAGGTGGCCTTTAACATACATAGCATGGTAAGATGAGACAGATTTTAAAAGCTGGTTCTTGGGGCATGGGAAGAGTATTTCAGGGAGAACAGACAATGCTAGCAAATGTGAGAAAGCTAAAAAGCACAGGTGTGACCTAGAAACAGTGAATGTACGATGTGGGTGTTAGCCCAATGTGAATGGTATATGTGAAATAAGAAGACAAGCCAAAAAAGACAAGGATGAAAAATCACCAAGGGCCTTCAATACCAACTGGAGATATTTGGACCTTATTTGGTGCAGAATATGTAAACACTGAAACTTTTAAGCATGAGCGTGATATGATCCAGGACAGGCTTTCTAAAAACAAACACTGCTGCAATCGTAGGAAAAAGTAGAGGGAGCACAGACTAGAGAGGAAGGGTCCAGCTGGGAATCTAGATCATTAGTTCAAGTAAGAAGTAATGATTATCTGAACTAGTAAAGAGGGCAATAGGAATGTAGGGGAGTGGAGAATTGTTACCTATCTTTGGCTACACACAGCTCCTAGCATATGGACTTAGGTAGAATAGACCCTCATAACATACCCATGTTGAGAAAATGGCAGGAGGAACAGGTGCCCAGCAAAGGTAAAAGATGCCTTTCTGATTATTTCCTAAAAGTGCCCTCTGGCATATTGTTACCCCATGTTTTGGGAAGTACCACATGGTCTGGATATACCTGTCCTCAGCCTCATTTCTTCCCTTTAGGCAGCACAGCCCTTCTTAATGGAGCCTTCTCCTGAAAGGACTGGCTTGCTGCACAGAAGCATACCACTGAAAAAGGGCTCCACGAAGATGAACTAACTAGGTGAGAGAGAAGGTGGCTGCTCTTTTCTAAATAGACTAATTTCTAAATGAATTTCCCCCAAAAATGGAAAAATAGGCTATTTTCAAACATCACTATATTTGGGAATATGAAAATAAAGATATACCCTAAAGCAGTGGTCAGCAAGCTTTCTCTGTAAAGAACCAGTTAGTAAATATTTTAGGCTTTGTGAGCCAAATGATCTATGTCGCAATTACTCAGTTTGCCATTGTAGAGTCAAAGCAGCCACGGATGATATATAAACAAATAAATGTGACCCTGTTTCAATAAAACTTTATTTATACAAACAGGGGCCAGGTAGGATTTGGCCATAGTAAATAGTTTTCTGATCTCTGCCCTAAGAAGCAAGGTCAGTAATCGTATTCAGTGTTTTTTTGTTTGTTTGTTTTGGTTTTGTTTTTGGTTTGTTTTAACCCAAATTGACTTAGTATTTGAGGTAGCAAAAATTTCCAATTATTGCTTTTTGTTAGTTTGAAATACTATGATACCTTTATTTTGTGTGTGTGTGTATGTGTGTGTATTCTAATCTGGAAAAGGTTAATTCAGAAGCTGTGTGTGGACATAATCTTGATTAACCTACTTTCGGAGGTATTGGTCCAGGTTTCTTCTGCATCAAAATGAGCATCTCCTCCAATACCTTGGCCTGGCTGAAAGGCATGCGCAAGGATTCCATTGGGTCCATCAAATGGAGAATTGTCACCATGATCTAGAATAAGAAAATTTGTATTAGATCCTTGCCAAGTTTCAGGTTTGCCAAAGAAAGCAAAACTGAGCATGACTGTTTTGCACCTACCTTTTTGGTAAAAAGCAATGTTGATATCTGCCTCTCCCTGTGAGATCCTGGTGAAGGTGAGAGGTGATACATCACTCCAGACTTTAAAGGCGTCCCCGATAGCTCTTTCTACCTCAGTCTCTGATAGCTGTGGGGTATAGTTTATAATCCTTCAAAATGAGAGAATGTATGAAGAGTTAAATATTATTTAGAACAGTAGTTCATCAACAGATGAGTTGTTCTATTTTGAAGTGAATTGCATCATGATTTGATGCCACTGGAGAGGATAAGGAGGGAGTACAGCTCTCAGGGTGGAGGACAGATGTGGCTTCTGAACAAGTTAATAAATGTCTATAAACCTCAGTTTCCTATTCATAAAATGAGGATACTAAAATAATATCCCACTCATAGGGCTGTCATGAGGATTAAATAAATGCAAAGCATTTAGTTCATTACTTGTCGAATAGTAGTATTCCACAAATATTAGATATTATTATTAATATGTATGAAAGGAGGGAATAGATTCTCTCCAGCAATGATTAAGCCTTTGTTGGGTCCTAAAGTGAGTGCTTAGAGGGATAGCCTAACATTGCCATAGTCCTCTTTAGGTTGCTGGAGAAGGAAGACTAAAATGGCAAGCTTTGAATTGGAAAGAACACATGGTATCTCTACGTTTTCATTCTCATACTCATTCACTCTTCACACTCTCCAAGGGCAGGAATATTTATCTACTTGTTCCCAGTGTATCCCAAGACCAAGAACAGTATCTATCATATAAGAGCTCAGTCAATACCGGATGAATCAGTGAATTCTGAAACCCTAGAAATATCACCTGTAGGTCAAGTTAGTTTGTTCCCATTTGGGGTTTCCTGGGGTTATCATAAAATCACCACTGTCAGGCACTCCACAGCGAGGCTGTTTCATCATCTCCAGAGTTTCCGCATTTGGCTTCCCCGTCACATTCAACCCAAAAAATTGCTGCATTTCTTTAAGCTTTTCAACAATCATATTAATGCTGTTCTTCCTTATAGACTGATGCTGGTTGCTTGGTAATTGGTAGAACTTTTCCAGGTAGTCCTAGACAAAGACCAGCACATACGTTCTTGCTGTGAAAGTACTTCTAGTTTTCTGGTCATTTTGCAACCCATTTCTAAGTTACCATAGAGGTCTAATAACCTGAGAGCCACAGGAACAATAACACAAATTAATTTGTAGGTTGACTTTGAGAGAACAACGATTTAGAAAGAACAGTTCCTCCATTCAGCTCTCCAGTTAATGATTATGCATAAAAATGGGTGTCTCATAAGGGATGAGGGTCACATCACACAGGTGCTACTATACAGTGCTACTATACAGTCAGGTGTCTGCCTTCTTGTTTTTATAAAAAAAATTAGAACTAACATTAATTGACTTCTCTCGAGGTATTTGTTGCATCAATGCAGTTCCTCTTTCTTATCCTCTTCACTACTGTAGGAAAGGCTTAATTATTCTTATGAACAAATGGAGGCACAGAGAAATAAGGAATTTTCCAAGTGATGATCCAGGTTTTAACTCACCATGTTGCCTCTCAAATGAGAACTGATAATTTCAAAATATTTTCAAATCTCTTTTAGGGAAATACCAGTATCGATATTAGCATTTTATTCACCAAGGTAACTCTTTGGAAGGCGCCAACATTCCTTTGGAAGTGTTAAATTAAGTTTAGTCAAAATCCAAAATGTTTAGCCTAAAAATTACATATTTTGTTTGACTTAAAAGTTTCTTCATGCGTAGTGAACTGTAACCTAACTAGACCTCATGCTGCCTGTGAACACCTGGCATCTCGTCAGCATCTTAGTCATTTTCTGTTACTATAACAGAATATTTAAAGCTGGGTAACTTTTACATAAAAGGGGCTTATTTTCTCTCACAATTCTGGAGGCTGGAAAGTCTAAGATCAGGTGACTGCATTTGATTGGCTTGTCAGAGGGTCTTGTGCTGTGTCATAACATGGCAGAGAAATGGAAGGGGAGTGAGCATGTGTGAAAAGGGGCAAAACACAAAGGGCAGTCCCTCTTTATAATACCCATTCTTTTCATAACTAATCCAGTTCTGCAGGAACCAGAACCTACTCCAGCAAGAATTAACCCAGTCCTACAAGCGTGTCATTAATCTTTCTTAATGGCCTAAGTACCTCTTAAAGGACCCACTGTCACACTGGCTACCAAATCTCTAGCACATAAATTCAAGGGGCACACTCTAACCACAGCAGTAGGTGACACTGACCAGAGCACACACTTCTGGATCAGACAGGTTTGGGTTCAAATCTTAACTCTGCTATGAATTAACTGTGAACACTTGGATACATTATGTATCTGATTTAAGATTCATTTTTGTCTCTGAAATGGAAATAATAATGCTCCCCCCACCCCAATAGGGTTCTTGTGATGATTAAATGAGATATTCGTGATATTCTGTACAAAGCAGTTGCCTTGTACAGAATAAGCACTCAATGGACTCTACATTAATCTGGGGGTTACAATTACCATTGTATGGGATAGCCTCCCCTACCAAAAAAGCAAAATAATAATGCTTTCCCCAAACTGTAATGTTAAGAAAACTGTGCATGAGAGATTTGTGACAGAATTCCCTTGTGTTTCTTAAAAATTTGGCCTCACTTTCATACTGTGAAACAATAGAAAAAAACTATTGGTCTGCTTTTATAATGCTTCCAAAAGTTTATAAACAGTCCACAATCTGAATCTGGTGGTGGGAAATATGATTATACTATGAACTGATTTCCAGTTTATTATAATCTCCCATCCTCACATTCTCTTCTACATCTGGAAATTTTGGCGGCAAAGAAAATGCCTATATGGAAGCACCAGACATATGGTAACTTAATTGCAGATATCTTATTAGGAAAAATATTAGATAAATGAGAAAGAAAATGATATCATTTTATAAATAAAGCCATTTATTCTAAAAAATTTTCCAAGCTAGCTGTAGTTCTACTGTGGGTAACCCCCCATGTAGGTATCGAGGAAGGAGAGCTAAGCAGAATCCTGGCACAATTAAGGCCTGAAGAATATCTCAGTTATTTCCCTTTATATAATCCACTGTATATATTAGTTCATAGAATGAGTGCCTAAAGAATATCTTACCACTCAGTTATTTCCATACATATATACATATAAAACTAGATCTTAGTTCATATCAGAGGAATGCCTAGAGTAGACATGGCACAGAGCATTAATTAAGGAATAAACAGCTTATAGCTGGAGGAATGTCTGGAGCAGGCACAGTGCAGAGCATTATTCAAGGGAAAACAGTTATACCAGGACAAGGATTCATGGCCCAGGTGGCAGCATTCAGTATCGTAAAGATACCCGCTGTATGGCAGGCTTGGGGCAAGAAACACTCCTCCTGATAAAGGAGTCGTAGGACCTTGCTCCAGTTCTTATGGAAGGCTGCCCTCAGACCGGCAATCCCTCAAGCATCTGAGGGGTCAAAGCCCTTCCAGATAACCGCACCTTGGTGACTGTGAACTTTATCAGCTCTTGTTACTGTGCTGCCCAAAAAGCATCCTCCTATAGAATTCATTGGAAGGTGCCAGCAGGTAGTGGTAGACCCTGACAGCTCTGTCACTGCTGTGGACTTAAGCATCCTCCTATAGATCTTCTTAGCAGTAGCATGCCCATAGATAGAGGTATTGCACACTGCACCCTCTTCACTGCACACGACCCACCTCCATACCTTGGTGACCTAATGGGGGTGGACCTCTTACTGCACATGGCCCACTTCCTTGCCTCGATGACCTAATGGGAATGGACCCCTCACTGGGCACTGTGCATCTCCTAGCCTAGGTGACCTAATGGGGATGGACCCCTTGTTTTATTGCTCATGACCCTATCACTATCCTTAAAGATGACTTCACTCACTGCCCTGCCCCCTAACCTATACACAATAAATACAGATGCTTCTGGACATTCAGGCCTCACCTGTCTCTGCATATAGCTGGCGTGGCCCCCCATAAGCCCAGCTGTGTTTTCTTTGGTACTTCTGTGTCCTGTCTCTTTATTTCTCAGATGCTGCTCCTCAGCACAGCATAAGGGACACCCTACGACCCTGTGGGACCCTTAGCCCTACATTCTACAGCAGCATTTTCCCAGACTTTAAAGAAATCATCTTGTTTTCATGTCCAGCTTTTAAAGGCCTAGTCCTTACCAGCTTGGAACCCTCCAAATCACTAAAAGAAGATGTTCAACCTCAAACTAATCTAGATAATTTCTTTCAGGCTGTTTTAACTAACAAGAGAAAACAACCCACACTATTTCCTAATAATCAGCAAATCAACCACCACCTAACTGATAGTTCATTTACCTGAACAATTTTTGTATCTTTCTCCTTAGAAGATACAGGAAAGGCCTTGGAAATCTGCACATGGAGTAAGAGCAGAAATGGAAGTGTCTTCAGACAGAACATGATCTTCTCTTCAAACACTACCGACCCTGGCTTTCTCTTTGCCCTTTGTGTTAGGGCCCTTCCCTGGTGAGCACCCTGAGGTTCACAGGATCACGTGCCACTCACAGCTCTCTTTCAGTCCTCTTTAAAGCCATGTCTTAAACAATTGTTGCATCAGGAATATGAAGCAACATGGGTTAATTACACTCTGATAGTTTTGCAACTTTATAATGTGATTTAGTATCCCAAAATGGGGGAGTCTTTCAACACTCCAACTTTCTACTCTTTGCTTTGGGTGTTTTAGTTATTTACTTTTACAAAATTGGTCGAGGAAAAGGAACAGGAGACTAATCCTGAAGTTACATGGATATACTTTCTGGTTATGTAAGATGCTGAGGCTGAATTAACTTATGCAGGGGAATATTTTGAGGTTTGTGATAGATATTTTGGGACCAAGGAGCCCAACTAGAGAATCTCAGTACTTATCCTCCCTCACTGTATGTGGCGAGAATGAGTGACGGAGTGTCCTATTAAAAAGCAGGCTTTGTACGGGGGCCTAGTGCTGCTTCTGGAAGATGTAGTTTGGCATCAATGTATTAGAAAATCCCTAGTCTATAAGCTAGACTTTCCATGGAAAAGATATAGAGAACAATACTGATGATGATAATAATGAACATTTGCTAAAAATTTATGATTTCCCAGACATTAGTACTGCACCCAATTCATCTTCACATAGCTTTGGGAGGGAGATGCTATTACTGTCTCCATTTTACAGATAAAATCAAATCTGGAGACATTTAGATGACTTGTTTAAGTCACATGCTTGGTTTGTAGAGGGGCCGGGATTCAACCTCAGAGGGTATATTTAGAGAGACTGAGCTGCGGGCTACTGCAGGCTCTTCATGGGAGTCTCCCACTTGAGTCTCTGGCTGGCCCATAGTGGAGCAGTAGCTCTAGGCCTGCAACAGCTGGATACTTTGGCTTATATTCACGAGGAGAAGACAGGGGAGCAGGGAATGAGATGTTGTACATCTTCAAGGAATAAGACACTGAGAGATTTCCAGATAATATGGCTACATGGAAGACTATTGGTCAGAGGCCCCTGGCCATGCTTTTCAAATGATGTAACCTGGTCCCACTTATTCTGACTCCACATGCATGTAGTTTGTTACCATACACAGTCTTTGTGAATATTCAATTACTGTATATATATACATATTTGGCAAAGGCAGGTATTCCTGTGTATAAATGCATATGTCTACATATATGATACATAACATGTACTAATATGTAAAGAGTGTCTTTGAGATGCTATGAGAAGGAGTTCAGCTCTTTCCTGAGGTCACTTAGGAACTTTGAAAATGATCCAAAGAAATACATCCTGGGTTAGAACATATCTGGACAGCAGATTAATTGTTGATGATTTAAATGTTTGATGCAATGACCGGTTACAAAGTTCATAAATGTACTTTTTTTCTGAACATAACAGCAAGTGATTTAATTGAGAATCTAAAACTTTGGTAAATTCAGTTTTTGGTGTTTCGGTAAATGCCATATTAAAAAATTGAACTGTTGGGTCTGGATCTCCACCAACAGGTCCAGACCTGGTGCAGTGGTGGAGAAGGCTCTGCTGCATCTGCCTTTGGGGTTCCAGCTTGTGCTTTCTGAAGCCTTTCTCCACACCTGGCCACTGTCCATGGTGTCTGTTTCTCACCCGCTTCTGGTCCCTGGGACTGACAGCTCTCAGGTTCTCTCCCTCAAAAATCAAATCAGTCATTTACACTTCGCTGTGAACATATGAGTTCTCTGTTGAGTAGATCTCTTGCTAGAAACAACAAGCAAACAAGCAAATACATTTTTTAAAATGAAGGCGTTGTTCATTAAAATATGAGTTTCAGGGAAAATTAAGAAAATCAAAGAAATTTAGTTTGAAGAGAAAAGATGCAAGGCAATGTAGGATTTTTCTTTCTCTCTAATACTAGCCTCCCTCCTGCCCCATCAGCAGCAGCCTATTCTCATAAGGATAAAGATATTCTTATAAGGATGAGGATATAGATGTGTGTTCTATAGCAACATAGCAGGTGTATTTTTACAGCTATGTTTTGCTTTCTAGGCCTGAGGAGATAACACTGATTGCATAGATATAGTCTGTTTGTTCTTTAGTTATAAAATAAAGGATGGGTTGAACCAGCTGGGGTGAGCACGTGTGCCTGAATCTTGAATGATGAGCAGGAGTTGCCCGTGGGGAATGTGATCCAGTAGAAGAAACAGTGTCCACTAAGCACAGAAGTATACTCAGTGAAGCCACGGCTCATTTAATTCACATAAGCCAAGGTAAATTGTCCTCAGCTTCATGCCTTTTTGAACTCTAACAATTAGAATGGGTGTCCATATAGCCTGATCAAGTTAACAGGATAATTGTTGGGGCCAGTTGTGGTGAAAGGTAAAGAGTATTCAGGTTAAAATTAACCTTACTGGGTTCAAATTACAGTCCTGCCACTTCCCACTTATGCAGCTTTTGGCAAATCTAAGTTCTGAGGCTCAATTTTCATACCTGTAAAACAAATGCATTAACATCTCCCTTGCAGGGCATCAGGAGATGAGATGAGATCATAAATGGAAAAAGTCTGTGTAGACCCTTCACTGCAGTGTCCTCTTTGTATTATGAATGTGGTGAAATTATAGCCATGTTAGTTCATGTGTCCATTCTGGGAATGAGTTAGCAATGCTGAAAAGTTCTCCTTTTCCAGAAAGAGAAGTGCTTCTAAGTTAAGCCACCCAGTGAAGCAACTTCCATGGAGCTTCCTTTAGTAGCCAGCATTCAAGTTCAGCCAGGGAACATATGTGTGTGATTCACATCCTTTTCATAGAGTGTAAATGTATACACTCAGATCTCACAAATCATTATGGATTAATCACTGTGCTAAGGCTTAGACATTCAATATCTGTTATCTTCCTTAAGCTTTATTACAACCCAGAGAAGTAGGCGTTATTATCCCTATTTTAAAGAAGAAAACAGATTCAGAGATATGATTCAAGTTTACCTTTTCATTTATTCTTCCTAGTAATCTCCTTTGTTCTCCCAATGAAGGAAACTTTTTAAAAAAGTGATTATTCTCAGTCTTGGCACTACATCAGAATCTATATTAAAAATACAAGTAGGCTCCTTTCGTGGACTAAATGTTGTGTCCCCCATCCCCAAATTTACATGTTGAAATCCTAACTCCCAGTGTGATGGTATTAGAAGGCCTTAAGGAAGTGAGTCCTCATGAGTGAGGTCAGTGTCCTTACAAAAGAGACCCCAGAGAACTCTCCTGCCATCTTTCCACCGTGTGAGGATCCAATGAAAAGTTCGCAGTCCGCAACCCAGAAGAGAGCCCTCCCCAGAACCTAACCACGTTAGCATGCTGATCTGACTTCTGTCCTCCAGAACTGTGAGAAACAAATACATTTCTGTTGTTTATAATCCACTCAGTCTATGGTACCTTGTTTTAGTAGACAGAACAGACTGAGACAGCTCCACTCCAGCTACTGAATCAGAATCTCTAGGGTGCAGCCCAGGCACACAGAATTTTAGAAAGCATCCCAGGTAACGATGAGGATGAGTTAAGAACCTCTATTGTAAGAGAGGATGGAGAATATACAATAAGAGAGATAAAAAGTCATGTTTTAGGATTTTAAAAAAAGGAACAATAGCATTCTACTGGGGAGATCTGCAAAGACTTTGTGGGGGAAGTGGCCTTTGAGATAAACTTTGAAAGATGGGTTGAATTTTGGCATTGAAATTAAGCTAAATGAGGGTGGGATTAGAAGAAGTAAAAAGCGAAGATATTGTGTTAAGAAATCTTGGATTATAAGTGAAGAATAACAAGGCTCTAGGGGAATGAGCACGGAGTATATAAGGAGAAGCACATGGGAATGGTAGTCTAGAGCCAGATAGTGGAGGGGCAGGAATTAAATATCAAAAAACCAGCAATGAGCAGATATTGTTGGTTTCTGAGCCATGTAAAAATCAATGCTGACTTACTAAAACTACCTGGCCACAGTATATAGGATAGACTGGAGTGAGAAGAGGTTATAAATAAGAAGAACCATTAAAAGGTGGAGTAAGAGTTTAAGTGAAAGGTCGTGAGAAACTGATTCCAGGGGGTGGTCACAGATCTTCCTCTTGATGTGGGGATGGATGGTGAAGAAATGAGATTGAGGAGGACAGGAGGGAATCTGGGTCATCACACCACACCTCTCCAAGAAGCAGCAATTCACATCACAGATACACATGGATAAAATAAAAGTTGTCTTGAGGCTGGGCATGGTGGCTCACGCCTGTAATCCCAGCACTTTGAGAGGCTGAGACAGGTGGATCACCGGAGATCAGGAGTTCAAGACCAGCCTGACCAACGTGGAGAAACCCTGTCTCTACTAAAAATACAAAATTAGTCGGGCATGGTGGTGCATGCCTGTAATCCCAGCTACTTGGGACACCGAGGCAGGAGAATTGCTTGAACCTGGGAGACAGAGGTTGCGGTGAGCCCAGATTGCACCATTGCACTCCAGCCTCGGCAATAAGAGTGAAACTATGTCTCAAAAAAAGAAAAAAGTATGGTCTTGAGAGTCAAAGAGTTCTTTTGAGGATGGCAGATGGAGTCAAGGCTAAGGGTGGAGCTGAAGGAAGTGGAGACTTGAGAAACTGTAGTATTGAATTTGACCCACAGATGATGCTGTTTAAAATGCCTGCTAAGCAGTCATGATGGTCCAGGCAAATGAGAGAGTAGCTAGAGTGAGCATGGAGGATCTCATTCATGTGGTGTTGATTAGCCCTAAACATTTCCGTTTCTCCCCGTACATCTATTCTCCCAAATAGAGGGTGTTGAGGATAAGAGGGAGTGGAGAAAATGACCCATTGAGAGTCAATGACTGTCCAGAAACCAGTCTGACAGACACCCATGAGAACAGATGACAGAATAGTAAACATTTCCATTCCAGGCCGCTCTGTGTATCTGGAGGCAGGAAACTGCTAAGTGGATTTTGCCAAACTCTCTTTTCTACTAAATCAATCCAGTTGTGTGGCTAGAATGCCTCATTTTTCATTTTTCCTGAGGCACTGTCTTTTCTAAGTCT